TCCGGTTTTGTCTCTTGTGTTGTTGATTTTTTTAAAAAGATTTGGATTTTAAGATTTATGTATGTTTCCTGAACATTTGGAGATTCTTGAGAGGGTTTTGGGGCTCATTTTATGCTTTTTGAACAAAATGAGAAACTAGAGGCTGATTTGAAGCTATTGTAATATCTTTTAGAGAAATGAAAGCCAAAGAAAAGTAATGGAAATTTAAGTATGAGACATGTTTCAGAACCTTAAGCACTTGATGCTTGCTAGAATTAGTTCCATTTACTGCCTAGTGGCTGGTTCATTCTGTAAATTGGTCTTTTTTGTGCTCTGGAAAGAAAAGGCTAACAAACCAATCCAACAAACCTATTTTGTGTTTGATGTTCTCTTTGATTATTTGTGATTTTCCTCTTTTCCCTTCTCAAAATGATATAATAAATCATTTTAAGAAACTAAAATGACCAAAAAGATTAGGGAGACTCCCCCTCACCCCCCAACGAATTTCAACCTATTTCCCATCTCTACTAAAATAGATCTGTAAACCCTAGATAGAGAAAATTATGTTAACACTTTCTGTCAGGACTGGCATCATCTTAGCTTCTCTGTGACTCAGTTTCCTCATCTTAAAATAAGGCTAATAAAAATAGCCACCTTATGGACAGTTTTCATATTACTCAAGAAAATGTACTAGTAAAACATTACTGTAGTGCCTAGAGTATACTAAGTGGTCAAAAAATATTAGCTCCTGTCAAAAATAAGGTGGGAGCAGCAGTTTTATGAAATCTTTTTTTAAGTAACATAACTAATTTGAAAAATATTTTGCTAAATTTACTTTTAATAAACTAATCACTTTGTAATTTCTACAGAAACATGGACAATTTTGAAAAATAAGCGTTCTCTAGATGTTTATATAAGCAAGGTTGTGGTTATATTAAAATGTATAGTAGATAGATTGCATTGTAGTCATCTTCCTAAAGTGAAACTTCAGATAAGAGCAGGGGTATGTTATTTGCAAAATGCAGTTATTTATCTCATTGACAGTGCACACTAGGGGGTCACAGGTGCATTTTAGACTTGGGGTTTTAGATATGGGATTACCAATATGAATTGTCTACTTCTTTTAGGTGTCATTTATATGAGAAATGTATTGAGGGCCTTGGAGATAACTTTATGCCCTACTTATGATCTCAAGCTTTTTACTGAATTATTTATTATTGCATTGTGTTAGCTATTTTGCTTCTTGATAGATCATTTTACACCACAATATTGCTGCTGCCTAAGGGGAAAAAATGTCTTTTCAGCAGTCGTAATGACCTCAAAAAGGGTAATTTGATTCTTACGATAGGATTTTGACTTGCCTGGTGGTTATAAGAAATTTTCTCTATGACATTGAGGTTATTTTTTTCCCTTACACAGTCATAGACATTGCTTTTCTCCTTCTGTTCATTAGGTTTCTTCCAGAAATTATTTCTCTAGCATTTATTACCTTTATCCTTAATTGTATATGTTTTGGTCAATTCCCTTTGCTAATTTAAGAAAGGAAAGAGTTTTTTTTAAAACAAGAAGCTAAAATTCATGTGTCCAGTAAAGTGATTTTGTTAACGCCATTGTTTGTATTGTCCTTGTTCCTTAAAATTGACATTTCTGAAAATAACCTAATATGTACTTTTCTTGAGGATTTTCAGTGGTAGGTCATGGATGGTATTGGCAGGCGGACAGGGCTGATTGAGAGATAACGCGGCACACAGGCATGAGGAGACATTTGGTGGATGGGTAAAGCCTGTTTTGTGGCCTCAGGGGCAGCATCACAGTCAGAATTTAGACGATGGGCCCAAGCCAGAGGATGCAGTAGGAGTTGAAAATTTAAATACCCATAGAAGTCTGCAAATAATGTAAATGAATAGTGCAGGCCAGGTGGCAACTGTGGCCTGTTCAAGAGTCCCTGCTCCTCTAAGAGGCACTATATGGGAACATGGACCCAGGTATTTATGTAAATCTTACGTTTAAATATTTGTAACTAATCTTTTTTCCTAATTCATTACAAGCCAACTTTGGTTAATGGGGTATTAGTTTGTGACTACTGTCTTTAAAAGAGACTCTTTTCTGTTATTTAATAATTATGATGACCTAATACTGTAGGTAATTTTATACCAGTAAACTCTCTGGGAGAAAAAACAATGAAAGGGAGGAAAAGAAGGAAAGGAAGGAAGGAGGGAGGGAGGGAAAGGGAGAGAGGAAAGAAGGAAACGGGAAACCTTCTCCATGTCTCCCATCTGATTTTCTAATACATCTTTACTTACTGGCTTCTCTATAAAAGATTGAAATTTGTTTAAGGAATATGAACTATATATTTTACATGTTTTAGTTTAATTACCTGTAGCATTCTGTCTATATTTCTGTGCAGTTCCAATGACCTGTTTATGTTTAGCTTGGAGTTTTATTTATAATATATCAAACTTAGTGTTTGTTTTGTTATCCTCACCCGAGGATATTTTTTTCAATTGATTTTTAGAGAGTGGAAGGGAATAAGGAGAGAGAGAGAGAAACATTGATGTGAGAGAGAAACATCGATTGGTTGCCTCCTGTACACACCCCCACGGAGGCTGGGATCAACACCTGCAACCCAAGTACATGCCCTTGACCAGAATCAAACCCACCACTCTTCCATGTGTGGGCTGATACTCTATCCACTGAACCACACTGGCCAGGGCTCAAACTTAGTTTTGATACTTGAATAAGAATACTCATCTTTGCCAAACCGGTTTGGCTCAGTGGATAGAGCGTCGGCCTGCGGACTGAAAGGTCCCAGGTTCGATTCCGGTCAAGGGCATGTACCTTGGTTGCGGGCACATCCCCAGTAGGAGGTGTGCAGGAGGCAGCTGGTCAGTGTTTCTCTCTCATTGATGTTTCTAACTCTCTATCCCTCTCCCTTCCTCTCTGTAAAAAAATCAATAAAATATATTTAAAAAAAAAAAAAAAGAATTAAAAAAATAAAATTCCTGTATTTCTTTTTAAAAAAATTTATCTTCATTGTTGAAAGTATTACAGATGTATTACATCTGTAAGAGTGCTCATCTATTACGTATATGGTTCCTTCTCTGGTGTTTAATATTCTTATTGATATCTGTCACTCCTATATGTAATACTAACGATTTGTTTTTAAAAGTCAGCTTGTGTGTTTTTAAATTTATTTTCTTCAATAATTTTTTCCAACTTACCATGACCTTTTAAAAAATACAGAAAAATTAAAGGATAGTAAAAAGATAACTCACATACCCACTACCAACATTCAACTGTTAACATTTTGCCAAATTTTCTGGCTGACTAATTGCTAAACCATTTGAAAATGAGTTGCAGACATCATGCTACTTTACCAATACATACTTGAGCATGCACATTCTAAAAATTAAAAATTTCATAATCACAGTGTCGTCTTATAAGTTGGTAAGTGTGTGTGTGAGTGTGTGTGTGTGTACACACACTTTATGTTATTTGTATTCCGGAAAGGCACTAGGGTATGTTCAGGAGATGCTCATGAATTTAAAAACAAAACGAAACCTCCTCTGTCCTTTGTTGATTATTTGCTACAACAAAGTGAATGCTACATTGGATCTGGGTCAGAGCAGATATGGTTTTTATTGCTGCAATCCTTGGACAACATCCAGGTGCCTTCTAAAACAGGAGTTTACTTTCACAAGGCTCACAGAGATAAGGAGACTACTGGTTGAGTTGGAACTCTTTCCCAGAACTGCTAGCCTCAAGCTACAAGCAGAGTCTTACTAGGCTAGGGGAACAGATGCTAACGGGAATAATACCTTCTGCTCCTGGTTTGGATCTCCAGGTAAATGACTGCATATCTTCCTGGGTAAAGCCCAGGGAGATGTGAAGCTTTCCTATAAAGTTTTAGTAGGAGGTCTAGATATCTGTTAATATGCACCCATGACCCATTTTTATGCAGTAAGACCTAGATATAACGGACTAATTCGGGCAAAAGTCTGTTATATAATAAAGTAGGTCTTCTGAATGTGTACGTTAAGAAATTGACAAATTAGTCAGTTTACCTGTTTTTACTTATGTAGACACATTTGTGTAATGAAAACTGATTATGTATGAAAAGTTTAATATCACAGAAAAGTTTTCTATATGTATTACTGTAATTTTAAATTTATACTGAATAGGTCTAGTAAATGGGTGCATTCACCAGTTACGCAAGTGACTGCACACGGCTGGGTGTGGCTTAGTGCCCATGGGACCATCAGCTGGCAATGTGTTAAAACTGCTGCAGAAAGTCACTCCTCCCAACAGCAGAACCAATTACTGACAACAGAACCAATTACCGTGTTGGATGTGATGGGATCACATGCCAATCATTCACCGAACATTGTTTACAAGCATGGTGACTCTTGGATTTAAATATGTAGACTCTAATTGTAGATATGTAATATTTATTCATGTTGGCAAAATTACTACAGTGTTTTTTCCAACATTGATCCATTTGCTAAAATTTGTTTAAAAATAACAGTGAATTAATAACAAAAGAGTAGCCTGTTAAATTTAATTATGAGCAAATCTTGGTTAAAAGCATTTTTAAATTAACAAGGTGTTAATCTTCACGTATGACATACGGACTGGAAATTTTGCCCAGTATATTCGAAGTTCATTAAATAGAGGTCCACAAAGTGTAAAGTTTACTGTACTACAATGGAGCACTTGAATAGTCTAACCTCAAAATTTTCAGAATTTTAATGGAATGTCTCTCTGGTTAGCACACTTTTGCATATGAATGTCAATAATGCTACTCTATTTTGCCTGTCAGCTTCCTAAATAAGGAGTAGAGAATACAACAATGGATTTTATGTCTTTGTGAGCAGGAGTTTAGTATTGGGATTTTCCCAGTTTCTCCCTAGAGCTGTTATAAAAGATGTCTCTATTTAATGATGCTTTATGCTATTCTGTGGAAGATTTCCTTCCTTTTCACTCTCATTTTAAAATGTTATTTTCCTCTGTTTTTTCCTTAGGTGTATTGACTGATGTTTAATAAGAACAATTGAGACCAGTTAGAATTTTCTGCAAGGAATGGAATTAGCTCATAGCTTATTGCTGAATGAAGAAGCATGCAATCAACTAGGTGAAGTTCAGAAGGCAGAGTTCATTTTTGATTGGTTGAGATATTTGGAAAAGCTCTTGCTAGCAACCAGCAGGGTAGGTAAAACTACAAAAACTGGTTTTTGTTTGTTTTTCTTTAAGCCAGATAATATTTTGTTCCTTTGGTTTGCTTTTCTAGTTCTGTTCAGAATAACCTAAATTAGCTTTCAAATGCTAGATCTTATTAAGACTTTATAATGAAATGTTACAGGAAGTTTATTTATTCTGTTCAAAAAAGCAATAAAAATTAGCCCATATTTTTTATATTACTCAAAAATATTTCAGAAACTAACTACAGATTACACTGTATTAGATTATATTTTCATTATATCCTATACTTTATGTACCTCCATATGCATGAAGCCCTGTATACTTTATTTACCTCCATATGCGTGAAGCCGTGTAGTATAGTGCTAAATAATGTCATAGGAGTTTCAATTTAAAGAAAGGTGTGGACCCTTTAATGGGAGAGTCATTGAGTAAACATATTCTCTTTTAAAAGCTTATAAAATGGGTACAAAAAAAGAACACTCATCACTCATACCCTTCGTATACATTCAGCAGTTATTAATATTTTGCCATATTTGATTGACCTATTGATTTACTGAGCCATGTGAAGTTCTGCTTTACTTCTAAATACTTTCTGCATACCTCTAAATATAAGGATATTCTACAAAATAACAATAGTATTTGTAATGCAGAAGAGGTACAAAGACACTATTTATGGAGACGTTTAGAATTTAACAAAAGACAAAATCCATACACTAAATGAACAGATGATTCACTCTGGAAGTTTAAGTCTTGGTGAGCATCTAAATACCATTACCATTGTAATGATATTCTGCATTCCTTTTTGAGAGAGAAGACACATAAACTGGAGTAACATTATTGGCATTGAGGGGCATAAGCTTGCAAAAAGAAAATTGCACTGAACTTAGAAAAGGATCTGAGTAAAACAAGTAACCATTACAAGGTCAACACTGATACTGGATTATAGGTTGTTGCTTATTATGCAACTATATATGGGGTGGGAGCTTAGTAACTAAGAAGCTCTTATTGAAATATAAATTTGCTCTACCTTTCAAACATAAGAAGAAAGATGTAGGAGAAATAGAGCCATTGTCTTTGTTCACAGAGACTCCAGTATATTGTGGTCCAGAATATTTTTGTGGAAATAACCAGCAGGGCAACTAACTACCTATTCATGTGATAATGAAGATCACACCACCAATTTACTTGTAATTTTTAATCAAAATAATTTTACACTTTTCTAGAGCCTTTAGTTCTTCAATATATGGAAAAAAATAGAGGATTACATGTAATTATGTTGACTTGAATTATCTTTTTGTTACCTTCCTTTCTAGAGTGATGTGAAGGAGAAACAGAAGACTCTTGTTGAGCAGCTCCTGTCTTTGTTGAACAGCTCCCCAGGGCCTCCTACCCGCAAACTTCTTGCTAAGAATCTAGGCATTCTTTATGGTATTGGAGACACATTCTCTGTCTATGAGACAATCGATAAATGTAATGATCTTATTCGTAGCAAAGATGACTCTCCAAGTTACCTTCCCACTAAACTGTAAGTTAGATATTAAAACGGAACAAGAATTAAATAGTGCTTCCTTATAATATCATTTTAATAAATAACCCAAACTACTTAATAATTATTTTGAAGCTAAATATAAATTTTTTACTTATTTTTAAATCCAACTTTAAAAATAATCTAACATATTCCTATTGACTGAGAAAGAGTTTTTTAAAAAAATATTTTAGACATATTTGAAGTCTAGATTTAGAAATGAAAACTGACGCACTAAAATTTTAGCAATTGAATATTTAAGCAAAGGTATTTTAAATTCTTCATGCATGTTTTAGATGTCCTTTTAGTGTATTAGTTCTTAATAGTTAAAATTAATAGTAAATGTCATAGAAAAATACTCTTCTAAGATCCTAAAAATAGCAGCTTAGTTTCTTTCTCTATAGAATTCATTTCATTTTTATTACCTGTGTTTTTAGGGAAGTTGATTTGCCATGTATAATTCCACAATAGTAATTTCATAGAAATTTTTGTTGATTTAATTTTAGCTTATATCAGAATATATTTTCTGGTAGTTTTCAGACTTGAGAATATTATTGCTTTTCTTATCTTTTACCTTTAAGACTGTCTTTAAGTATCCTCTATAATAAAACCCTAATATGCAAATCGACCAAACAGCAGAACGACTGGTCGCTATGATGCGCACTGATCACCAGGGGGCAGATGCTCAACATAGGAGCTGCCCCCTGGTGGACAGTGTGCTCCCACAGGGGGAGCACCGCTCAGCCAGAAGCTGGCTCATGGCTGGCGAGCGCAGCAGCAGTGGCAGGAGCCTCTCTCGCCTCTGTGGCAGCACTAAGGACCCCTCGGGGATGTCCACCTGCCAGCTTAGGAGCGGGGAACGGGCCTAAGCTGGCAGGTGGACATCCCCCAAGGGGTCCCAGACTGCGAGAGGGACCAGCCCAGGTAGAGGGGGGTACCCCCCCCTTCCCCCCCCCCCCCCCCCGTGCACGAGTGTCATGCACTGGGCCTCTAGTCTAATATATAAAAGCTTTGAGGGAATGGAATTCTTGGGCTGAGATTTCAATTAATTGAAGATACATATTTTAAAATTTTTTGTTATTGAAAATGTAATATTTGCCCAAGCTGGTTTGGCTCAGTGAATAGAGAGCGTTGGTCTGTGGACTGAAAGGTCCCAGGTTTGATTCCAGTCGAGGGCACATGCCTGAGTTGTGGGCTCAGTAGCCAGTGGGAGGTGTGCAGGAAGCAGCCGATCAATGATTCTCTCTCATCATTGATGTTTCTATCTCTCTCTCCCTCTCTGAAATAAAATATATATGTGTGTGTGTGTGTGTGTGTGTGTGTGTAATTTTTAAAAAAAGAAAGTGTAATATTTGATACTCACCTAAGTGTCATGCCTTAGAATTTAACGGGTAGATTCTGGGAAATTTTATCCTTTAAAAGTAAAATTAAAAAGTCACCTTTACATATTCTAAGTTATTTTTTTATTTCTGTTATTTCCATTCATGACTAATTTCTAATTTAAATGTTGTTTCAGTGCTGCTGTGGTATGTTTGGGTTCCTTGTACAAGAAGTTGGGTAGAATATTAAGTAACACTTTTACTGAAACAGTTGGGAATATTCTTAAAGCTATGAAGAGTGCAGAGGTAAGTAACTACAAGTTTGACCAAAAATAAAAGATAGTATTTTATAGGTTTCTTTACCTATGACAAGCATACATAAATATGTACAGAAATAAACATTTGGCCCAGTGATCCCACTTCAAGGAATATATCCTAAGAAACCCAAAACACCAGTTGGAAAGAATATATGTACCCTTATGTTCATAGCAGCCCAATTTATAATAGCTAGGATCTGGAAACAGCCTGAGTGCCCATCAGTAGATTAGTGGATTAAAAAGCTGTGGTACATTTTAACCATGGAATACTATGCAGCTGTAAAAAAAGGGGGTGGGGGGGATCCTTTACCCTTCGAGACAGCATTGAGGGACTTGAAGAGTATTATGCTAAGCAAAATAAGCCAGTCAAAATCAAGTATCATATGATCTCACTCATATGTGGAATCTAATGAACAAAATAAACTGATGAACAAAATAGATCCATAGACATAGAAGCTTGGAACAGACTGACAATTATCAGAAAGGGGGGTGGTAGAGATCAACCAAAGAACTTACATGCATAAGCCCATGGACACAGACAATACTGTGGTGAAGGCCTGGCAGGGGGAAGGGGGTCAATGGGGGAAAAAGTATGTAATACTTTCAATACTAAAGATTTTAAAAAGAAATAGAACCATAAATGAAATATTTCTAGGCGATATACATGTACTTTGTATATTGCTTTATTAGAAAAGCAATAATACAGTAATAGAATTTTGTGTATTCAGACAAATACAAATGGGCAAAACTAAGGTATTTGGTAGACCCATCCCTCCTCCTATCACCTCTTCCATCTGATACTACTTAGTAGTGCCAGAGCAAGTGCTTGACACCAAGGACCCAGATACATAGTTGGTAACTACTGTATGCCTAATGGATGGATTAGTATTATACCAGCATCAGAAGGGAGTAAGGAATATAATCAGGGTTGGAAAGAGCGTAGAGGATGTAAGTATGACCAGGATCTGGATGGCCTTTTAATTGTCAGAGGAGTATATGCTCAGCCTTAGTCTCATTGACTTGTTGGCATCATTTACCGCTGTGGAACACCCTTTGTTTCTGTAGCTCTCTCTTTATTTGATTCCCAAGACACTGTAGTCTCTTGCCAGCTATAGCTTTACCGATCAGATTGAAATGAAAGCATTTGTATGTTTATATATCAAAAATTTTAAATCTTATTCTTAATAGTCAAGGATACCTAAGCACCTTTAAATATAAAAACATCACCCCAGTTCTTGTTCTTACCTTACTTAGAAAAACAATCTAGAAGGCAGTTCTGAAATAACTTATAAAAATACTGGTAGTTTTATGCACTTTTTTTTTAATGTACCAAGATAAAAATATGGGAAAATTCAAATATTAAATATGTTGACTTTTGTCTTCCATCTTCAGTGTACTTAACTTCCTGGGATGTTGAAATCATTTAGGGCATTCAGTAAAACATCAGTAATACAAGCAGCTACTACTACTTGAGTGTTTATTATGTGCCAGGCTCTGTGGTGAATGTCTTCCCAACAGGGGCTTACTAGTATATACTTCTTACACTGGCTCTATGCGGTTCATCCTAACCTCATTTCATAGATGAAGAAAGAAGTAAGAACAACTTAAAGTCACACAGATACTAAGGGTCAGAGCCAAGACTCAAATCCAGGTCTTTTTAAATCTAAAGCCCAGACTTCTAACCTCTGAGTTAAACTACTTGGACCAGTAAATGATAAAAATATCAATAGTTATAAAATCTATTGAACATTTACTGTATTTCAGGCACTACTCTAAGTACTTTACATGTAGTAACTGTTGAGCCTTGGGACAACCTGAGAAGTGGGTTCTATTACCTCCATTTTACAGATAAAGAAATAGATTTGTTCAAGGTCAGGTACCTAGTAGGTGTCAGACCCTGCACTCTTACCATATTACCTCATTTATAGCAACCATTTATTGGCTATTTAACAACATGCAAGCTTTGTGTTAGGCACTTTTCCATATAATTTCACTTAATCTTCACATCAACATTATGAAATTTGTGTTGAAGTGTAATATATAATATGTTTATAAAATAGCAACTATTAATGTTTGTTGATGTCAGAATAGGTTGGTTAGTATGTATAAAAATCTTGAGTATTTCTCTCATTTATGAGATAAATTTCAGTGCTTAATGCTATTCTTCACAGTACTTTTATCCCTCTATTTAAATTTTTTCTTTTCTCTTTGTTAGTCTCAAGGTCGATATGAGATTATGTTGAGTCTGCAAAATATATTGAAAGGACTTGGAGCTGCTGCTACACCTTGCCACAGAGATATTTATAAAGCTGCTAGATCCTGCTTAACAGATAGGTCCATGGCTGTTCGTTGTGCTGCTGCAAAGGTGAAATGGTCTAATAAGCAGAATTTCTATTTGAAAAGTAAATCAGTTTATTCCTGTGAAAACACTGGAAACACCCCCATGATCTTAGAGCTGCAACTTTGGTAGTCAGCTGTCCCACTTTAACGTGAGGAAACTGAGACCCAGAGAGTTCTATGAATTTCCCAAGGTTCATCTAGTAGTTAGCAGTGCATTGTCGAGTGTAGTGAGTTCAAATGATCAGACTCAGTATTCCTTTGCTACTAAGCTTCCTTCCTATAATTGTATAAACTAAAATTTACATGTAAAATTTATGTTGTTTGAAAGTGATTTGTTTTTACATACCTTGTTAACATATTTGAATAGATAGTATAGTAAAGTTGTTTATGATGGAATTATTCTCACAATTACTCATAGGCAATTGACTGGTTCTAAGGACATTTTTAAAAAATAGATTTGTAATGATTTCAGAGAGGAAGGGAGAGGGAGAGAGAGATAGAAACATCAATGATGAGAGAGAATCATTGATCAGCTGCCTCCTACATGCCCCACACTGGGCATTGAGCCTGCAACCTGGGCATATGCCCTGGCCAGGAATTGAACCATGACCTCCACGTTCATAGGTCAACGCTCAACCATTGAGCCATGCTGGCCAGGCCTAAGGACATCTTTTACAGCCCTCTCCTCTCACACAGTATGGACACATTGCTTTTATGATTTTTAATAAGTATTCACTTGTTGTCCCTGTAATCATTACTTAGAAACTTTGGGTTTGTGTTCTATTTTTGTTAAATCTTGATATTTTCTACAATTTATCTAGATCACAACTTGATATTTACATTTTGTTTTTCATTAATTTCTGTTTTTCCACTTGAGTAGTGTCTCTTTGAACTTCAGAACGAGGCCAGCTTCATGTGGAGTACAGACCTGGACAGTGTGGCCACACTATGTTTTAAGTCATTTGAAGGTTCCAATTATGATGTGCGGATTTCAGTTTCAAAGCTACTAGGGACAGTGTTGGCTAAAGCTATAATTTCTAAACATCCAGGAGCAGGTAAATTCATTTAATTATTTTCAAATGTCTTCTGTAATTGTCTTCCCAATTGATTTAAACAAACGTATGTGGCATTACTACCCATTAATTTCTTTTTTTAAAAGGCAGACTATCAAAAAAAATCAGTTTTAGTTTGTAGCATTGCTCTAGGTCCTAATATTTCATTTTCAAATAATTCAATAAAAGTTTGAGGGGAAAAAATTCTTCTATCTATTTACTCTTGAAGAAATTTACTTTATTCAATCACTGTCTTCCTCTACATTCTGGGTGTTTTTCTTTTACGTAAATGTGAAGTATTATCCAGTAAGAGGGATTATCTAAATCTTGAGAATTTTTTTTTTTAAACAGCATGCATCTGATTACAGACATTTATTTGGCTTGCTATTTACTAAGTCTGTATGAGGGAGTGATGATATAAATAATTCCAAACAACAGCTATTTGAAATTTACTATATTTGGAAAATTTGCTTTGTTAGTTTTTGTTCCCTATTTATACACTTCTAGGCAGTGAGCAAGGAAGGATAGGGTATTTTTTAAAATGAGAGTTTGCCTGGATTTAATCTACAGCATATATAAAATAATGACAAATAATTGAAAACTTGCTCTATTATTCTATCTCCAAAGAATAAACAGTCTCACACAAGGGAAAATGTGTTTGTTCTGTACAACCTTGCCTCTCTCATGTTTATAGACCAGGAGTACTGACATCACCTTGGAGCTTTTAAGAAATTCAGAAACCCAGGCCCAGCCCAACTTAGTAAAACAAAATTCTCATTTTAACAAGAACTCTTAATGGTGGCTGGCAGACATAAAAGATAATTTGTATACACAATGAAGTTTGAGAACCATGCTCTAGAAATTGTTTATTGTTATTAAAAGCGGATTCTGTTTTTTCTAGTCATAGTGTTTTCTGAACCAGCGATGAGAGAGAACAGGCAGTATATACCATATCAGAATTACCTGAGAACACTAGCAAACTGTACAGTCCTCTCATTCTCCAATTGAGACCCACAAGTTTAAAATGTATACTAAGAACTTTTTATTGTGGTTCTTCTAATCTTGTAATTCAATACTTTCTAATTTATAGTGGAGGTGGGAGGTAAGGTGGAAAGGTGGATGGAAAGAGGAAGAAGAAAAAACAAAAAACAAAAAAAACCCGCAAACCAGAAAAAAGTTGTTCAGGGCATTTGAGAGGTTAAATCTTGAGCCACCTAAAAATTTGAAGTTAGAAGACATGTTTAATTAAGCCATGTTGAAAAGGTGAATTGCACATTAATGTGTCATTAGCCCTAGCACATATTTGCAATAAAAACAAGTAAAAATGTAGAATTATATAACAAATGTGAATGATATTTAAATGTATACCCTCCTATCGTAGCACTAAACTAATACCAGCAATTTTGTAATCAGACTAAACAAAATGAAGGACCAGCTTCACCTACACTAAAACACTTTGGCCTAATATTTTAGAAATTCTTTCATCTGTAAGTTCTAGCTTGCATTATAATTGAGTTATTTTCATACAACTAAAAAGTGATCTAGATGTCATGATAGATTCTTTTTAAAGTAGGAGACTAATAGCAATAAAGCTTTTAAGAATTTGGAAAACAAATGCAGTGGAGGATGGTACATTTCAACCACAATATGCAAAGATTATGAGGTACAGAACTGAAATGACATTCTTAGTCAAACTAATGAGCTTAAAATAGGTTGTATTTCATACCAATGTACTTAAAAAGCAGAGATTGAGTATGACATTCTCCTAGCATTGGGGTAAGTTGCCAGGAGTTTATGTAATCTTAATCACCTCTTGACCATGAACCTTAAGTAGGTCTTTAATGTTGGCTGGCAGATATAATTTTTTCCCTAGTCCATTCATTCTCCCACTTTCTAATGGACTATTTTATACCTACTTCTCCCCCCATCTTATTTTCACTTGATGGCCTATCTTCCATAGGCTTCCCTATCAAATTCACTCACCTTGTACCATCTGTACACATATACTCTGACTTTCCTACTCAAGATGAATTATGCAATCTTCTGTTAAAGCCACACTTTTGATATACTATATGTTAGGGTTCATCCTCTCACCTGCTCCAGGATATAGCTCTAGGAAGTCTCCCTTTCATATTTCAACATTTCCCTCTATATCAAGTTATTCCATACAAAACATGCTTTTTTTTATGCCTCCCACTTAAAAAAGAAAATTGTGTATGTCAGCCAGCTAGAGCCCCATATCTCTTCTTCCCTTTGCAGCAAATTCCTCAAAAGAGGTTTATTTTGTTTTCTGGATTATTTGCATCAATTTACTTATTTATTTTCAATTACAATTTACATTCAGTACTGTTCTATATTAGTTTCAGATGTATAGCATTGTGGTTAGACAATCTTGCACTTCACAGAGCAGTCCACCCCACCCCAATATTTCAAGTACCCACCTGGCACCATGCATAGTTATTGTTGACTATATTCCCTCAGAAGAGTTGACACCCTCTGTGTTTAGTTCCTCTCCTGCCATAATTTTCAAACCCACTTAAATTAAGATTTTCCCCCAAACACCACCAAAATTATTTTTGTGAAGGTAACCAATGACCTCCATGTTCATTTATTCACTCAGTAATAAGTAATTGGTTGAGTGTTTATATTGGGCTAGATCTGTTCTGAATATATAGATCTGTATGTTATTGAGCAAAACAGATAAAAACCCCTGCTGTTTTGGAGTTATATTCTATATTTAGCCATGCTAAAGCCAGCAGACAACTCTCAGTTGTCTTACTTGACCTTTCAGCATCATTTAGCTCAGTTGATCCTCTTTATTCTTTTCTCATTTTCCTCTTAGGACCTTATGGTCCTTTAAAAATCCCTTGCTTTTTCTTCCTTCTCACTAGGAATTCCTGTTCAGTCTTCTTCAATGATTCCTTGTCTTGTCGTAGAAGAAGCACATTACCTAGTACTTGGTCTCCTGCTCTTTATGTCTACTCATTCTCTTGGAGACCTTATCCAATCTCATGGCTTAAATACCATCTAAATATCACCTATATCAGGGATTCCTGGATTTATATCTTTAGCCCAGACTTCTCTCCTGGACACCAGACTTTCATATCCAGCTGCCCATTTGACATCTCTATTTTGATATCCATTTGATGTTTCAAATTAACTTGTCCTAAAGTGAATGCTTGACTTCGCCTCCCCACAACATACTCACACCGGCTTTACTTGCAGTCTTGCTAATCTAAATTGATGATAACTCTATCCTTCCAGGTGTTCAAACAAAATCTTTAAAGTCACCCTTTACTCTTCTCTCTCACACTCAATAGCTATTCTACTTGACAATCTTAAAACATAACCAGAATCAGGATTCCTTGAAGAAATGGCTTATTATGGGGTTGGAGCTGGAAAAGTCTGAACATGAGCCTAGAACATCTTATGCCAAAAAGTAAGGAACTCCATTGGCCAGCTTTCTCAAGAGTCTTCCACTGGTCAAATTTAGGACAATATTAGAGACAAAACTAGTAACGACAGAAAATGGATAACCTATTAAATAAAAAGGAATCTTATTTTTATAGATTACTGAAGTAAAGGAAAAGGAAGAGCTCTTTTTATGGTGGAATTCAGCTAATAACTGTAGAAAGTAATTTTTAGGCAATGACATTATTGGAATTATTACAGTAACTAGAGGCCCAGTACACTAAATTCATGCATGAGTAGGGTCCCTAGGCCTGGCCGGTGATCTGGGCCGATCTGTGGGGTGACCAGCGCGGTGATGGGGGCTCCCGCTGGCATCAGCCTTGCCCTGCCTGGCTCTGCCTGCTCACCGGGCCCCGCCCCCCACTGCTACTGCCAATCGCCTCCCTCTGTGGAGTGACCGGCAGGCCAATCAGGGACCCCCGCTGGCACCACCTTGGCTGGCCTGGGGCCTGTGGGCTGGGGGCAGCTTCTGTGTTGAGCGTCTCCCCTGTGGTCAGTGCGCCTCATGGCGATTGGTCATTCCACTGGTCGTTCCATTATTTGGTCGATTTGCATAATAGGCTTTTAGTATATAGGATAATTTATGCAGGTAGGAATCCTCAGTACATTCTTGGGTGAAAGTTTGATAAGTTATAGAATATTTATGCCATCTTAAAGTATCATCACATAGGTTACATCAGTGATTCCCAAAGTGGGCGCTACCGCCCCCGGTGGGCGCTGCAGCGATCCAGGGGGGCGGTGATGGCCACAGGTGCATTTCGGGGCGATGAGTAACTGCTATTAAAATTTAAAAAAAATTAATTTCCAGGGGCTGAGTAATATTTTTTCTGGAAAGGGGGCGGTAGGCCAAATAAGTTTGAGAACCACTGGGTTACATAATAATTACAGCGGGGAAAATAATGTTTGACAGTGGACAAACCTGGCCGACATCTTACTCTGGTGTTCAAAGATAGTATCACCAATGCAGGGGCAGACTGACACCAAGCCTTACAGTGCCCTTGATGTTATGCATTGAGAAGGCTTACAGCAATACTTACTTAGTTCTCTTGCCAAAAATTCTGAGGAAGTACTAGACAAACTCAAATTGAGGGATTTCTGTAAAACAACTAGTCATATATATGTTCTTAAAAAATGAGGAAGTAATAAGGAAAATATTGTGAGTGTAGCTGGAGGGTATATGGGAATTTATTTTATTGTAGCTTTTTTGTAATTTTGAAAATTTTCTTAATAAAAATACTTAAAAATACATATGTATGTCTGTTCAGACTCCACTTTATGGCAGCCACCTTGATCTAAGCCACCATCACCCTTTGCTTGAATTACTTAATTGTTCCTAATGGGTTCTCCTACTTTTACCTTTGCCCCTCTATACAGTCTCCTCTTAGCACAGAGGCCAAGCGACAGATTGTATCACTCTTCTGCTCAAGGTTCTCCACTGGCACCTCACTTCACTTACATCCTTACAAGGATCTATAAGATCCTTTGTCTTCTCTCTACTCATCCTTGTAGCCTGGTCTCTTTCCTACTAGACCCCTCCACTGCTTTGTCTACATATCTCTGCTTGGACTCACTAGGCACCATATCTCTCCTCAAGGCTTTTTTTTGTCTGAGCTATTTCCTCTGGCTAGAACACCTTTTCTCTAGGTAGATCCTAGAACTTTCGGATCCTAAAGTTTTAGGATCTGCGTGCCTAATTCCCTCACTTACGGAATTATGTTCAGAGGTCACCCTTTCAATTAACCATTCCCTGACTACCTTGTTGAAAAGCACAACAACACTTCCCCCTCCTATATTTCTGCCCTGTTCTATTTTTTTGTATGGCTTTCAGTCACTGTCTAGCATACTATGTGTCTATTCATGTATTATATTTATTGTTGTCTCCTTCCTAGAATTTATGATGCACAAGGGCATGGATTTTGTACTATTCGCTAAAGTTTCTCTTCCAAAGGCCATCATAGATTTTTCTTTGTTTCCACGGAACATCTCTTTAAGCTAAGGAGTAGATTTTTTTGGTTCATATTTTTGATTAATGAAAGTTTATTTCTGTACTATGTATGACTTGAATCAATAACAAGAGTCAGAGCTTGTGACCATCATTTTTCAGAAAAATGAAAGGAAGAAAATGGGTTCTTTTTTTTTTTTTTTAAGGAGATACTCAAAGGGAGAATCAGCTGTGTCAAACTGAAGACAGACTAATCTTTTAATTATTGTAGCCCAAGGGCTGACTGAGAAGTTTTAGTAATATTTGGCTTTGATTTCTTCAGAGACTGGGGATATAACAAAAGTTGTACTTGCAGTTGAGAAGTTTTAAAAGTAGGATACAGTGGTTACTTTATATAAGCCTTTGGAAAAATAAAATTATGATTTTGGCATTTTAATTATTTTAAAAGAATTTCAAAGCATTGTATTGCTTTTTTCATTCTTGGAGAATTGGGACAATTTGTTTGTTTTCCATTGTTTTAGGATACTGTTAGCCTTTTAAATTCTTTGAGGAAAAGAGAGCAATAGCTCATAATCTCAAAGTGATGTAGACTTTAAGACATCACTGAAAGGATGCTTCAGAGTCCATTATGATTTGACCTCTGAACCCTTGTGTGAATTTGTGTGTTAACGTGTATGATGCCCTGTAAATTTTGCATTTTATTTGAGTTTTTAATTTATTTTTGTTTCAGTTAACATTCTAATCAAGATCATGCATTAAAATATAGTCTGCAAAATACAAAAATCACATGTTTTGTTCTTTATTATAGCAGCCTCACGTCAAAGCATTCGCAGAGTATCTCTGGAGGAAGTTCTGGAATTACTAGGAACAGGGTTTCTACGTGGGAGTTCAGGATTTCTTCGAGCCAGTGGTGATATGCTGAAAGGAACCAGTTCAGTCAGTAGGGATGTTCGAGTTGGAATTACTCAGGTTAGGATCACAAGTCAGTATCTAAATGTAATTCTCACTGGCCCGTAATGAAGGTTTTAGGATCTGACTCCAGCCAGAAGTGATACTATGCAGGGTCATCACTCATGCTCTTATATTTATAAATAGATATGGTGAGGCCAAAACACTTTTTAAAAAATATATATTTTTATTGATTTCAGAGAGGAAGAGAGAGAGAGAAACATCAATGATGAGAGGGAATCATTGATTGGCTGTCTCCTGCACATTGGACCAAGCTCGTAACCCAGGCATGTGCCCTTAACCAGAATCAAACATGGGAGGGACCCTTGGGTCCTCAGGCTGACGCTCTATCCACTGAGCCAAACCAGCTAGGGCTAGGCCAAAATGCTTTTTAAAAGCTAGATTATGAGAGAGAACCTTATTTACCATAAAGCCACCTAGATAGGCTATTCCACACAATATTTTCAATTCCTAGTAATGGGATATTTTTGTTTTATTTCCTTTGAAATAACATGAGTATTTTGTTTTTAGGCCTTGTATCTTTATGTATCTTGTGGTTTAACATGTTTTTTATTGTGTTTATGTGTGCATGTACAATTCAAGTTTAAGCTCTTAGGTACATATTTTTCAGCATGGGCAGTATTGTATTTCCATTTTATATGGTTTCAACTCCTAAGTAAATATTACAGCATGTTATCTACTTAAGTGCTTAAATTCCTGGTCCTAAACAAAATTTAATAAACTAAACTCTGGTAAAAGTATCTTAGAATAAAACAAAACAAAGGTTTCTGCATTCTTTCTTAGAATTATCTTGTTTCCTGAATGCCATTATGGTTCAAAACAAGCCTGTATTTTTTTTAATTTAAAAAATATAGACATATCTCTATTGATTTCAGAGAGGAGTGAGAGGGAGAGATTAAAAACATCATTGATGAGAGAAACATCAATTGGCTGCCTCCTGCACACACCCCACTGGGAATGTCCCAGTATAATTAATTGTAAACTAGTTTTTCAAAAAAACAAATTACATAAGAAAACTGTTCTTGTATCTCTGGAGTAAGATAAACCATTAACTTTCTTTTTAAAAAAATATTTTTTTATTGAAGGGAAAAGAGGGAGATAGAATGATGAGGGAGAATCATTGATTGGCTGCCTCCTGCACGTCCCCCACTGGGGATCAAGCTGGCAACCCAGACATATGCCCTTGACTGGAATCGAACCTGGGACCCTTCAGTCCGCAGGTCGACACTCTATCCACTGAGCCAAACCAGCTAGGGCAACCATTACTTTCTTAAAAATAAAGAGCAGTGATTCATCACTATAAACTTACAGTTTCTAGAACTAAAATCCCTTAGAGTTATGATATTGGAACACAGTTAATTCTTACAATGTGTTCATATGTTTTATTGGATTTTCTTGTTCAGAATGTGAAAGAGCTTGAATTCTTTGTTCAGAGAAGCCACAGACACATTTTTACATATTAGTTGGCTATGCTGACTGTTCTGAAACCTTTCATAAAGCCAAAATAAAACAGGCAGCATTAATGCAAAACTGCAAATTCAGTTTGGCTTAGAAAACAAAAAAATAGTGTTGTATTCATATAGCTAAAATGGCTGTAAATGAGAAATGATAAAAGAAATATTAGTAAATTCTGCATATTTGTGGAAGAGAAGATATTAACATAGAATTGAAATTATTTCATTTTGAAGATAAAACTCCTCTTTCTTTTTTAGGCTTATGTGGTATTTATTTCAACACTAGGAGGAGCATGGCTAGAGAAGAATTTTGCTGCCATTCTTTCTCATATCCTAAGCCTTGTGTCACAGTCACACCCTAAAGTCACCCAAGCTCAGGCTGATGCTGTCTGCGGTCGCCGTTGTGTTTCATTTATCCTTCGAGCTACTATAGGAGGCCTTCTTGGAGAAAAGGCTCAAATTGCTGCTGCTAAGGATATTTGCCAGGCTATATGGAAGTTAAAGAAAGTGGTCGGTATGAATCTACTAAAATGACCTGTTTTAACAGTGCTAAAGGATTTGTCCCTAAGGAAAAGCTACACTGGTATATTACTATATTAATACAAAAAACACTAATAACAGACATCAGTTGTTTCAGAGTAGTCAATATATAAATGATACATAAGTTACCTAACATAATAATAACTATCATATGTACAAATCTTAAAGGCTGGTAATAATATTTCATCAGAATTCATGATCTTACAATAGAAGCTGATGCATTGTTTTTGAAACAGTTTTTATCTCAATTCCTGTACTGTTCGTCTTGTGTATCAATAAAATTGAAATCTTTTTTAGTTTTCCATTAGTTCTTTCAGTGTCACTTGCTAAGGGAATAATAAGGGATCTATGGTCAGGTTGCTTGAACTGATTCGGTAAATTAGTTCAGTTCTTTGTTGATGGAAGTCCTCTTTTTAGTATTTCAGTTATATAGATCAAGTGGAGGTACTAATTTTTGCTTTTATACTGTTCCACTCCTAACACTCACCTGCTGTAATCTATTTTAGCAAAGCATTGTTGCATAGTTAATTCTTATACTTCTGTCAGATGCTGTGATGTGTGACGGTAATTTGGAAACCCGGCTTGGCTCCACAGATGTAGCAGCCAGCCAGCATATGCTGGTGTGTGCTTTACAAGAACTCGGAAATCTCATACACGGTCTCGGGACCACAGCTGCGCCTTTGCTGCAGGATTCAAGTGCAGGTATCTATTGTTGTGGCTCATCTGAACTCCTTGTTTTTATTTTTACTCTACACAACTTTTTTCCAAGGAAGAAAATCTCCCTCCTACAGTTTATTTCTTATAGATACCACTGTGTATTTACTAGAGATGTTTTATGAAATATATATACTAGTAATCAAGATTATTAAAACATATATATACATATACACATATATACACATATACATATATATATAGGGTTGCTTTTGCTATTGAAGGTTGTTCTCTATGTCTCTCCTACCACCTGCTTTTCTCTCTGGGGATAGTTAAGATAATGGGAAAATGGAGAAGTAAACCTGAACTCATATCTCTCATCTGCAGTGAAAACATTAGTTTTTATATGGTACAAGTAATTCACTTCCTCAAAGTTTTTTGTAAGCAATCTCTGTTTTCTTTCTCTTCTTGAAAATTATGTAATCATTGTGAGAGATAATTCACATTATACAGAGTTCACCCTTTTAAAGTATACAATTCAGTGGTTCTGGTATGTTCAAAGTTGTACACTATCTAATCCCAGGATGTATTCATCATCCCAAGAAGTCCTGCACCCATTAGCAGTCACTCCCCATTTCCCTTTCCCCGAGCCTTTGACAACCACTAATCTGCTTTTTGTCTCTATGGATTTTCCTGTTTGGACGTTTCATGTAAGTGGAATCATACAGTATGTGGTCTATTGTGACTGGCTTCTTTCATGTAGTCACTTTTAAAAATAATTTTTAATGGTTTTTGTCCTTTGTGATACACATTTCCTGTACACTGAAGCTTTACATTATATTTTGTTCATAAACTCTTCATCCGAGGGTACATATTATTAAAGTAGCAGTCAATATGAACTATTATATGTTTTGATGAAGGTGTATGTTGAATCATTGCAAATGTGGATATTTTTTCTAACTAGTAGTGGTAGTCCACTTTCTTCATAGTTGTTTAGTAGTGCATTGAGCACCTAGCAAATCCTAGAGCTTAACATTTTGTTCTCATATAAGAGCAATATGGTAGATAGGAAGTATACTAATTACGTATATAAATGTGCCAGAAGGGATTTTTTTTTAAAAAGGAGGATAGAGCATGGTGTGTAACATTTCTTCTCAAGGTACTTTTGTTACTTACTGATAATTTTTAAAAAATATTTTTTTATTGATTTCAGAGAGAAAGGGAGAAGGAAAAAGAGATAGAAACATTAATGATAAGAGAGAATCACTGATTGGCTGCCTCTTGCACACCCTCCACTGAGGATGGAGTCCACAACCCAGGCATGTGCCCTGACCAGGAATCAAACCTTGACCTCCTGGTTCATAGGTCAACACTCAGCCACTGAGCCACACCAGCCTGGCAGCTTACTAATTTTAATGCTAGTATAATTAATAATAATCTCAAGATAAAGTAAACAGAACATGGGCATATTTAGGAAATACAAGTTTTCTTTTTTGTACTGACTTAAGCCAGTTTTCATGAGATATATTAGAAGAAACAATTATTGGATACAAAAGTTATTTATAATTATGTATCACTTTTTTTCTGATTTAGCTTTTGATAAAGATAATATATACTTGATTCATGTGACTACTTATTCCTTTGACTTAGTGAGTCTTATCTGTGTAGCTAAGGCATTGTTTGTTTTTCTGTTCTTCCAGGCATTCTTGACAGTGTCATTTCAGTTATTCTTCATCCTAGCATATCTGTTCGGCTAACAGCAGCCTGGTGTCTACACTGCATTGCTGTGGCATTACCTTCTTACCTAACGCCGCTCTTGGACCATTGCCTTGAAAGGCTTACTGTACTTAAGTCTTCACCCGAAGCAGTGACTGGCTTTAGTTTTGCTGTGGCAGCTTTATTGGGAGCAGTGAAACATTGTCCTTTAGGAATTCCTCATGGAAAGGGCAAGGTAATGATTTCATTCTCTACATACAATAATGACATTTTAAGTTTTTCCTAAAAACATCATGGGCTTTTTTTTTTTTTTAATATATTTTTATTGATTTCAGAGAGGAAGGAAGAGGGAGAGAGAGAGAAACATGGATCGGCTGGCTCCTGCACGCCCCTACTGGGGATTGAGCCTGCAAACCGGGCATGTGCCCTTAACTGGAATCGAACCCGGGACCCTTCCATTCGCAGGCGGATGCTCCAGCCACTGAGCCACACCAGCCAGGGCATCATGGTCTTCTTGAGATAATTCACATTATACAAAGTTCACCCTGTTACAGTATACAATTCCGTGGTTATGGTATGTTCAGAGTATCACCCAGTTGCAGCCATGCAGGACAAATTTCTGAGCAGTCAGTTGTGTATCACTTAAGTGTTAAATATTATCAACATAATTATTGTGAAAATGGAAGGACTGGTTAAATAATGTCTTACCCACTCTTAAACAGAAATGCTATCTGTACTTTTTGTTAAAAGTATCTTCTTTTAATAAAAGAACTTGTTCCTAAAGGCTTTATTTTGATATATATTTAGCTCTGCCATAAAATACATTTTAAATTGCATTATAGCCTGGCCGGTAATGGCTTAGTGGTTGCATGTTGACCTATGAACCAGGAGTTCAGGGTTCAATTCCCAGTCAGGGCACATGCCCAGGTTTCAGGCTTGATCCCCAGTAGGGGGCATGCAGGAGGCAGCCTATCAGTGATTCTCATCATTGATATTTCTGTCTATCCCTCTCCTTGTTCGCTGAAATCAATAAAAATATTTAAGTTGCATTGTAAAAGACAAATAGAGCTGCAAAAGAAATCTTAAGCTTCATGTGATAATTTTATAGTTAATATTATTAGTGGTGATATTACTTTGAAATTAAATATAGTTAGATAAAATAGACACAATGTTCTTAGGAACCAAGATTTTCCATATTTAAAAAAGTGCTGTAAGCACAACCAATGGACACAAGACACTGGGGGTTAGGGGAGGCCGGGGGAAGGTCAAAGGGGGAAGAAAAAGGGAGACACATGTACTACTCTTTGTAATATTTTAAGCAATAAAACAAAATTTTTTTTAAAAGTGCTGTCGTTATAGAAGCAAGAAAGTTAAGTAAAAGTCCATATGTTAAATTTGAATAGAAAATATTACTATGAATTTTTAATTTCCTATTTTTGAAAACACTTATGTCCTCTGTCCAGTGAAAAGACCTCAAAGCAATGACAACCAAGTAGCAGGGACAACCCCTAGTGCCCAGATTATGGCTCTAAATACCATTTCTAGTAAAGGAACCAGAGCTTCATGGAGGAATGTCTGGTTCCAGGTCTGGGGCAGGAAATGCACAGTACAAGCCTGGAATATCTGGCCAACACCATTTGAATTAAGGTGACTAACAACTTTGGGAAGTGATACCTTCATTTAAATTACATTCTAAACACATTACATCTTGCGAAGTAAAGAATTACCATTGCATTTATATAGTTAAATTTAATATCCACAGATCTTACTAGGTTAGACAGACAGGATGGTTGGTTTGGTTCTCATTCTCTGAGTGTTATCCATTGAGTATAGGCCGCAAGTAGTCCTAAATTAGCAGTAAGTTGATGGGTTGTTTTAAAATCCACTAGCCTACCTCTTTAGAAAATTTACATGCCAAGTCATAATAAAAGTGATTAGTAATAGAGATATTTTCTTAGGCATATTAGATACTTGTTGGCTTTTGTACTCATGCATGCATTAGTCATGAATGTGAAATATCTGGTTTTTCCTCTCAGTTTATAACACTACCTATTTCATAGACTTTTAAAATATAACATTTTAATGAATCTCACTGTACTTTGAAACTTCAATATAAGGTTATTTTGAAAGCTTTTAACCTCTGTAGTATATAGCCACTTAGGTATCAAAATGGTATGCAAAAATTTAGCCCAGCCAGTATGGCTCAGTGATAGAACATTGACCTATGAACGAAGAGGTCACGGTTCAATTCCTAGTCAGGGCACATGCCCAGGTTGCGGGCTCAATCCCCAGTGGGGCTCTGCAGGAGGCAGCCAGTCAGTGATTCTCTCTCATCATTGATGTTTCTATCTCTTTCTCCCTCTCCATTTCTCCCTGAAATCAGTAAATATATATATCTATTTTTAAAGTGGTATGCAAAATTTTTAAAAGATTCCTGTAATGAGGTTTTCTTTGGTAGTTACTATCTAAGATGGTTACTTAAAAATAAGTTCAAATTCTGTACAGCTAAACGTAAACAGTTGTACTATGTTGTTGCACATATTCTGCAAACAATTAGAGTTTCTGTGTACACTTATATGCCAATATATGTGAGAGTTAAAATTTTAAGACATTATTATTAGTTGCTGTTATTTGTCCAGTAACCTTAAACTGATATGCTTTTTTTTTTGCCTTGTTCTTTTATATGTAAATAGATTATTTTAACATTAGCAGAGGATTTGCTGTGTTCTGCTTCTCAAAACAGTCGCCTTTCAGCTCAGCGCACACAAGCTGGATGGTTATTGATTGCTGCTCTGATGACATTAGGTAACAGTCTTGTGGAAAGTTTACATAACTATGAACTTTGTGTTTTCTGATGTAAAATATTATAATGGGTGATTTGACTAGACTAACTTTTAATATATACCAGAATTTAAATATCTACACAAATACTTGTTTTCTAACCAGTCACCTTAGGAAGCTATATACTTACTCCATTCCCCAAAATGTGTTTTTTTATTTTTTATTTTTTGGCTTACACAACAAAAATTTATTGTCTCTCCGTTCTGGAGGCTAGAAGAACAAGATCAAGGTGTCAGGGTTGGTTTCTTCTGAGGCTAACAGATGGCCACCTTCTTGTTATATCATCACATCGTTGTTTTATTCTCTCTGTGTGTGCATCCCTGGTGTCATGTGTGTATTCTTTTTTTTTAAATATTTTAATCTGAATAATTCTTTACTGGCAATTTTTTTTCAATAGTTTTTCTTCATTTACAAATCTTAAATGGCTTTCCATTGCTTATAAAATTAAAACAAAACCTTGTCTAAACAGCTGCATTGAAGTATAATTATTTTTATTGTTTGAAGTATTATATATGTCTCCTTTTCCCCGATTGACACCCTCCCCCACTCCCACCCCGAGGGCAACCCCCACCACCCCAGTGTCTGTGTCCATTGGTTATGCTAATATGCATGCATACAAATCCTTTGGTTGATCTCTAAACCCCTACTCCCCTGCCCCTTGTCTCTGGATCTGTTTTTGTTAATCAGTTTATGTTGATCATTATGTCCCACATATGAGTGAGATTATGTGATATTTATCTTTCTCCAGCTGGCTTATTTGCTCTCCAGTTCCAATCATGCTGTTCAAATGGTAAAAGTTCCTTTTTTTTTTATAGCAGCATAGGATTCCATTGTGTAGACGTTCCACAGTTTTTTAATACACTCAGCTGCTGGGCACTTAGGCTGTTTCTGAACCTTAGCTATTGTAAATTGTGCTGCTGTGAACATAGGGGTGCATATATCCTTTCTGATTGGTGTTTCTGGTTTCTTGGGATATAATCCTAGAAGTGAGATCACTGGGTCAAATGGGAGTTCCATTTTTAGTTTTTTGAGGAAACTCTATACTGTTCTCCACAGTGGGTGCAACAGTCTGCATTCCCACCAGCAGTGCACGAGTGTTCCCTTTTCTCCACATCCTCTCCAGCACTTGTCGTTTGTTGATTTGTTGATGATGGCCATTCTGACAGGTGTGAGATGGTACCTCATTGTTGTTTTGATTTGCATCTCTCAGATGATTAGTGACTTTGAGCATGTTTTCATATGTCTCTCAGCCTTCTGTATGTCCTCTTTCGAAAAGTGTCTATTTAGGACCTTTGCCCATTTTTTGTTTGGATTGTTTATCTTCCTTTTGTTAAGTTGTATGAGTTCTCTGTAAATTTTGGAGATTAAACCCTTATCTGAAATAGCATTGGCAAATATGTTTTCCCATGAAGTGGGCTTTCTTGTTGTCTTGTTGATGGTTTCTTTTGCTGTGCAGAAGCTTTTTATTTTGATGTAGACCCATTTGTTTATTTTCTCCTTAGTTTCCATTGCCCTAGGAGCTTTATCAGTAAAGATATTGCTACAACATATGTCTGATATTTTGCTGCCTTGTGGCGTCTTCTAAGATTTTTATGGTTTCCTGTCTTTACATTTATGGTCTTCAACCATTTTGAGTTTGTTTTTGTGTATGGTGTAAGTTGGTGATCTAGTTTCATTTTTTTGCATGTATCTGACCAAATTTCCCAGCACCATTTATTGAAGAGACTGTCTTGACTCCATCATATGCTCTTGCCTCCTTTGTCAAATATTAATTGAACATAATGGTTTGGGTCTATTTCTGGGTTCTCCAAAATGTTTTCAGATCTCTTTATTTGAAATTCTCTTGAAGACCAGTTTATGAACCTTAAATAGGGTAAGCCAATTTCATCATCTTTCAGGCTTAACTTTGAATGACTCTGGCTTTTCAAAAAATAATTCACATCCATCATCAGAAAAAAAACATTTTCCAAAACATAAGGTAGGCAAGAGAACATACCATAGCTTACGAATCCATTTCTGTAGTTGTTGTGGGAATTGGTAACACCAATAAGGTAGTTACATTGAAGGAGATAAGGCTCATTTAAATTATATATTTTTTAAATTAGTATGTATTTTATGGTCATGATAATTATAGTTATATCCTGTGACTTTGAAATTAAATTTTATCACTTAATTACAGCTATATTTTAAGTCTCTACTTTATAGTCATGTGATTTATTGCTAGAATAGAAAAGTGGCTGGATTTGACCAATAAATCATTTTGACATCTCTGAAATAATTTGATCTAAAAGGAGCTTAAATTAAAATAAGCATAAATGAAGAACCACTTTAAATAATGTTCTTGAGATGATTAAAGAGATTTATTGGACTAGATCAGGGTTCAGTCTATACACCAAATTTGGCTTGCTGCCTATTTTATACAGCTTATGAGCTAAGAATGGTTTTTACATTTTTAATGGTTTTTTAAAAAAACTATTTTGTGACATGAAAATCAGTTTTCAATGTTTGTAAATAAAGTTTATTAGAGCACAACCATGATCATTTCTTTAAATATTATTTGTGTCATTTAGGCACTACATTAGCAAAATTGAATAATTGCAACAAATTGAATAATTTGGCTTTAAAAGACAAAAATGTTTACTGTCTAGCCCAGCCGTGGCAAACTACAGCCCGCGGGCCGGATCCAGCCCGTTTGAAATGAATAAAACTAAAAAAAAAAAAAGACCGTACCCTTTTATGTAATGATGTTTACTTTGAATTTATATTAGTTCACACAAACACTCCATCCATGCTTTTGTTCCAGCCCTCCGGTCCAGTTTAAGAACCCATTGTGGCCCTCGAGTCAAAAAGTTTGCCCACCCCTGGTCTAGCCTTTTATAGAAAACTAGAGGCCCGGAGCACAAAAATTTGTGCACTGGCGGGGGGGGGCGGTGTCCCTCAGCCCCACTTGTGCCCTCTCACAGTCTGGGACCCCTCGGGAGATAACGACCTGCTGGCTTAGGCCTGCTCCCGGGTGGCAGAGGGCAGGCCCAATCCCTAGGTGCAGCCCCTGGTCGGGCTCAGAGCAGGGCCGATAGGGGAGTTGGGGCACTGCCCCCTGTCATGCACAGAGCAGGGCAGAACGGGAGGTTGCAATGCCACCCCCAGTCACACTCAGGGTAGGGCCGATTGGGGGGTTGGGGCGCCGCCCCCGTCACACTCAAGGCAGGGTCGATGGGGAGGTTGCGGCGCCACCCCCTGTCATGCACAGAGCAGGGCCCATCAGGGGGTTGGGGAGCTCCCCCGTGTCACGCACAGAGCAGGGCCCATCAGGGGTTGGGGAGCTTCCCTCTGTC